CCTTTTTAAAATGTTTTTTTTGCCCTGGGGGGGTTGGGGAAAAAAAAAAAAAGGGGGGGGGAATTTTTTTTTCCCGGGGGGGGGGAAAAAGCCCCCCCCCCCCCCCCCCCCCCCCCCCCCCCCATCTGTCGAGATATTCAGACGGAGGAGGTGGTTCGTGCTGCAAATTTTATCTCAAGGACAGAAATGTTGCATGTTTCTATGCGACAAGGTTTGGTGCCAACCCTGCAATATCCTCTTGAGGGAAACTTCCATTCGAAGGACAGAGCATAGTGTGCACCCAACGATGCGACAAGTCCGCTCTGTCCACCTCGCCATAAACGATTTCCAAAGTTTTGCTGAATATCACATTAAATCATGAAGACAAAAATTGCGTTTTTATGACATGTGCTACACCAACCGCCATCTACAAGATTTCACCAGAATGTCTTCCTGCTGCTGATGGCAAGATAAGTCATGAAGGGTTGCAGAGTACACTGTGGAGAAGTGTCGGGCATTCCGAACGAGAGGAAGCGCTCTTATTTTCAAACTCTTGACGGCTGCGAGCCAATACTTCGCATACATTATCGAGATTTGGGGGTTGTGCCTCTCTCCAAAGTGTTACGCATATCCTTCAAGGATGGCAGAGTATCCGGCAGGATCATTGATCCATGCGAAGGGCGAAAATGCCATAAAGGAGAAAGCCGGTGCACACGAAGCCACCGTTAGGCCTTTTCTGAATTCTTTGATGTTTCTGCATACGCACACACAATCCTGGCGTCCCTGTCCATGTTTGCCAGACATATGCCGTGCGGTATGAAAATATTGTATAGATGACCTTTGGTGCGGACATATTAATTTCCAAAACAATTGACTCGTGTTGGCATTCGTTGACATCAACGAATGCCATCTCAAGTGGCAATCTGGTGACGAAGGGGCTGGCGGTTCACGTCACTATTTTTGGCTGGCTGAACCAAGACTGACATTTTGATGTCGGAGGGTATCTTCGCACGCGAAAATAGATTCGCCATATTTTTCTGTTGCTGCCCGCACACTCGGCGGACTACGTAGAACAGCACGAGGGACATAAGCATATAAAAACTCATGTGAAAGCCTATTATTCGTTGACAAGGAGAAAATGGTTTACATTTGAGCTCCGTCTGTCTGTGGTGGGAGAGAAGAAATGTGCATTGCGCTGGCGTGCTCCGGGACTTTATTTTGACGCTAGAGTGATGGACTTTTGGAACAAACCTTTTCACACACACAATAACAGCTCTCAATGGGATGGACCACCAGCCATTCCAGATTGGGTGACTGGTCATCGATGTGGTGATTTGACTGCGTCGATGGGCACGTCTTGTCGGCGTTTTTTGACCGATGAACCGCGCAGGGATGTTTGTCGCCATTTCTATAGTTTCGCAGACGGAATCCCACAAATCAACCTCACCGCTCGGGAACAGTAGCTCGCCCCGCGCGCGGCGCAGCGTCGCCCTCATCCAGCTCTCTGAACGCGGCCTCGCTCTCTGGAATGACGACCACCGGGGTCTCCGTCGGGGAGTCTCGGTTGAAGTCCCGGTCGGTGTCCCAATCGTTCGTCTCCTCCTCACGACCCCCCCCGAGCAAGCCTTCGACCGCCCTGAGCATTCCGCCGACTGTCTTAACAGCATCGCTGATACCGCCTGCATCGGGCAAGTCCTTAAAGACGAACTCGTCGAGTCTCTCGACGCCCTTCCTAACGGTCGTGACGTGCTCCCTTCCCACGCGGATGCCTCTGGCCAGCCCCTCCGCGACGACTCTGCGCGCGTACCGTCTCGCGCCGGAACGGAACTCGCGCGGGAACGAGCGCACGCGCGCCGACTGCACGGCGCGGCCGGCGAGCGTCTCGACGAATGCGGAGAGGCCGCCCGGCGGAGACTGATTCGCGTACA